GTCTAGGAAGCATATAAAGCAGTTCAGAATTTTAAAGAGCTGTATGATAGTAGTGTTGTCCACCAGCCAACACTGTTCAGCAATCTATGCAGGTGTGTCCAGGTCAATTGAGAAGAAATTCACATTATGTCTATTTTGCTACTTATTGAGCACCTGTGTTTTTGTCATTTAGCTAGGTACTCTGTTATCTCTAACACAAGTTTGTAGGGAAGAGTGTGTACTTTAAAATGCATTTGTCAACGAATGTTTGTATATGACTTTTTACATAAAGTCACAACCCCTCTCTACGGCAGAGAAGGAAAGTCAAACTCTGAAGAAAATAAGTGGAAACTAACAAAGCTCTAGTTTTGATTTGAACCCAGGCCTCCGGGGCAGAGTTCCTTCTAGGTCGCTTCCTCTGAGAGCCACATACCCAGTGCTTTGCTACCCTGGTCCATGGAAACTATGCTCCTGGTCATTGCTGACTACTGAGGTGTCCCAAGAGAGCTGATAATTGCTCTTCTAACCTGAAAGGCTCTATTCTCCTCTGTCACACCCTTGTTTACATTAGTTCTTGAGGCTTGGCAAGTCAGTTGCCACTGGGTTTTCCTAAGTGTCAGTTAAGTGTATGACTTTTACCACAGACTACGGTGGAGGTTTTATATACTGTGAAATATTTCAGGGAATGGCTCCAGATTATTTTGTGGGACTCAGCTGTCATTTTATCTTTTATTTCATTAATAATAAAGCAGTATTATCTGAATATAGAATAGTTATTCAACACCTCTTTTGGATACTGTATTTTTAAAGGAATTTGCTGAAATCCAAGGAGCCATTCATGGGAAAAATACACATAAATAATTTTGCATGTCGTCTCAGACTCTGTGGACTTGCTTCAGAATATTTAGTAGATTGGATTACCTTTCAAAGTACTATACACACTACATTAGTTGAAGCCTTACGTTTTAAAATTTTATTATATATCAGATTTCTTTTCACTGGTATTTGTTATAATGGGATATATTTTTGTATTCCTCCTTACAGATTTAAACTTTAAAACATTTTTCTTTTCCTAAATCAACATCAAGGAGTGAAGCTACTGGTTTGATTTTTTTTTTCTTTCTATTTGACATCTGATATTTATTAAACATTTGTTACCTTTGGGATAATTTAAGATTGATTAAGTACTCAACAGTTGAAAATACTGTCAAATCTATCACATAATTCTCACTTAATACATAGAGTAACTTCATGATGTAAGAAGTAGTATTCCCATCTTACAAATGAGGAAACTGGAGCCTAAGGTTAAGCCACCTGCCCAAGATAACAGTAATAGCTAATAGGTCAAGATTGGAACCCAGGTTTCTTTCTTCCACTGTTCATGGTCTTTTCAGAAACCCGTTTGAAAAACACATATCTGCCTTGATCATAGCACAGTTTACCTTTAGTCTAAAGAACCAAAGCAAAAATATACATTCAGAAACATAACCTTAAAGGAAATTAAAAAGAAAAAGAAACTATACTTAGTATCCTAGCATCCTGCTACCTTGACAAATCAAATAGGACTTTTACTACGTCTCTTCACTATTAAATAGATACCCTGGCAGGATGAGGAGAGAAAAGCTGCTGTGAGAGAAGAAACAAAATTATTAGGGAGGTAGCTAAAGGCAGAATAAGTCTTATCTGTTGGAGTGCAGGACTCAAACTCTTAAACATCTATTTGTTATAGATTAATCCTGAAGTAAAATCCCACTGGAAAAGGTGGTGGGCACTGTGTGAGTTCTTTTTTTTTATTATTTGGCCAGAAAGAGACCTGTGATCTGTGACATACATCCCATCATGTTTGTGTTGAGTGCTGGGGATTGTGGGACAGAGCTCAAGAATGCTTGGGAAGAATGAACCTGAATTATTAGCAAAGGGACTGAAAAAGAATGCAGGAAGGAAAACTGAAGAAAGGAAGAAAGAAAATGGAGGGCCATGTTAATCCCTTAGAGCCACTCCTGAAAGAAGAAAAAGGGAAGAAGAGGAGCTAAGTTATCTTGGAGGCCAAGTTGTGTCATTGGTTGCCTGAACTAACACTGATGCATTTTTGCTTTATTTTACAAGTTATAAAGAAGTTTACCAGTATAACTGCAATTGTGTATTGCTGTCATTTATATAATTACTATAGGCATGGTGTACAAATTCTTGCACAGGTAGGGTCCCTTGGGGTGGCCTGCAGAGTTTGGGCCTCAGCTCAAGCCTAGCCTCATGGCACCGCCCCCTCACTCCACCATCCTGCCTCTGGGGTGATCAATCAGGGCCAGGCCCCCACCTGGCTCCTTCAGGGCCTGGGAGTCAGGTGGTGGCCCTGCCCTTCACCGCCACTGCTGGTTGCTGTCTGTGGGGTGACTGGCAAGGCAATCGGGCCTCCGCTCACACCTGCCTTGGCCTGGTGAACCCACTCACGGGCTCCACCATCCTGCCTCAGTCCTGCTCTCATGGGGCCCATTGGGGCTGGCAGCACCTCCACTGCCCCCCGCTGCCATAGCGTGTTTCATAGCGTGTTTCATAGCCAGTGGTCAAACTCCTGGTTGAACTACTGCCTGAGAGGACAATTTGCATATTAGGCTTTTATTATATAGGATTACCAGTAATTTGACCTTAGGTTAGAAAGTCACTGTTTAGTGATTTAAGGATTCACAAGTGTAGAAATTCCCATTCTATAAATTATTAGGGAAAGTCATTAGACATGAAATTTTTACTTTGAGGCTACATCTGAACCTTGTGCTCCAAAGGCAGAGTTAAGAAGGCAGAATATAATGCAAGTATGTCTTCTTTCTGAGGCTGGTTTAAGTTATGTATTACTAAGGTTTCTTAGGGACAGGGACCTAGCACAGAGTGAATTCAGTACTGGAAATACACCTTAATAATATGATGCTTGTCTTTTTGTGTTCTGTTGCTTCAAGCAAATTGTGTGGGCTGTTATCTCCTGAGAAATCCCTGTAAAATGTATTAGTAATACTTTATAAGTAGGTTAGGAGAAATAATTTTCTTTTCTAAAGCATTTTGAAATTCTTAGATAAAAGGCTCTGTATGAAGAAATTGGTGTCAGCTATTTTCTCTTGAGTTCATAGGCACCTTAGAGTGGGACGGTTGGCTTATCTTTAGCACTTCTTTATAAGTTACTTTTATTGACTTGCAAGTGAATATCAGAAGCTCCCAAGAGTATGGTTAGCTGTAAGAGCAAACATTTTTGGGTTTGGGACTTGGAATTAGCTATGTTTTCATCTAAGATTTAAAATTATCTTAGATGAAAACACATAGGTTTAAATATTAGTTTGTAATTGGCTGACTTGGAGGCAAAATATGGCCCTTTGTTGATCATGGGTCCCAACTTTTTCTCTTGCTCTTTCTTTATTTCAGAGACGGGATAAGCCTGACTTTCTGAAAAGCATCAACTTTCATATCCTATTTGAAATTAAATCTCTTGCTGCTAAGTAACTTGTAATAGGTCTTGGAAGAAAGTGTTTCATCTATATTCATTTATACATTAAAATCTACATACTCAAATGCATCCATGTGAAAACAGCTTTGCTTGGGAGACTTAACACATTCTTGCTTTAGAGAAGCTAACAGTCTAATAGGGCAGAACTATATATATGCACAACTAATCGTAATAACATGGTGTCTTTGAAAAATGCATGCTTCTTCCTCAATTACCCTTACTTAAAGAAATAATGGTGAATGGTAGTAATATAAATATTTTGGAATAACTTAGTAAGTTTTGCGTTTATGGATTTGCAAGAAACTTTCTGCTAATGTCAAAGAAAAATGGACCATTACAACATGTATCGCAATTTCGGTTTTGAATAGTCATACAATCTTCCACTCCCCATCGTGTTAAAAGCTCCCACTTCCCAAACAATAAAGTTAACGTTTCAATGAAAAAGAGAAAAAAAAAAAGACAAATGAACCAGCCTAGGTGCAAAGGATGGAAGGTAGGGCTAATTTCCTTCCTGGTTCCTTAAAACCAGAGCTGATAGATGAAGTGTGCTGTATCCTCTCTCCTTTAAAAGGAGCGCCTGTTGCAGTGATTAAAAGCTTTTCATCTTGTGGGCTGAGTGCATGTTATCTTCAAAAACAAAATTATTCCTTCCCAGTGTTATGTATAATTTGCTGCTCATGTGACTGCTGAGCTGAGCCCTTTCTCCATCTGTACTAGCATTTCCAGTGAACGAGTGTGTGAATTTTCCAGTTTAGGTTAGTCACCGAATTACAGCATTCACTTGCATATCCTTATAACAGATTGTGTTTAAAATCTTCATGGCTTTGTTCACCTTTTAGGGTTCAGATTTATTGTTCATTCAGTCTGTGGCCTTTAGCCTTTGGCAAGCTTTCAAATAAACAGCTCTTGCAGAGAATGTACCCACTTTATTCTCCCACCCTTGGGTTGTGGAGAACTGAAGATCACTTGAGTAATACCCCTCTCCCCATCTTTGAGCTTGCTCTGGCGCTGAAATTAGAACATAAGTGACTACTTCCTCTCCCCTCTCCGCCCCCTCCCCATCACCAGGTAGGTTGGAGGGGGGTTGGGCTTTAGAGGGCTTAAGAGGGCCCACCACGGGTAATTGACGCAATTTACATTTGTGTAATAAAGAATTGAGTTACAAACAGCCATCTTGCAAATGAGCCCTTGGAGTTAGGCCTACTTGTAATAGGGTTTTGCAGTCTTGCTCCTTGGCCTTACGGGCAGGGGCAGTTTATAATCTAGACAGATTTAGTTCTCAAAAAATGAAAGAATAATCATAGTAACAATAAAAAATCAAGGTCGACCTAACTGCAGTATGTGACAACAATCTAAAGCGCAGGACCTTGAGCTTCCCCACAGTTTTGTCAAACATCCAGGTGTTTCTTTGAAAGCTAGATGACACTGTCAGTAAACGCTAATACCCATCGCCTACACGGGTGTTCAGTGTGGGGTTGGGAGCCATTGTTGCGTCGTGCGTTCTGGGCGCCGGCTGGTCCTGTGCAGGCGCCTCCCTGCGCATGGGCGGACGTCTTCTCCGCTCGGCCTGACGCCGGCCTTCAATTGCCACCGTTGTTGGTGAGAAACATCTGCGAAGGCCCCGAGCAGAGCGCTACCTGAGCTCCGCCGTCACCGACATGTCTGATGACAAAGATTCCCTGCGGGGAGAGGAAGAGAAAGGAGAGGAGCCGGCGGTGCGCGCCATCCCCGGCAGAGCCATCCCTGGCAGTGCGTTCTCTCTGAAGCAGGCCGAGGAGGTGGACCCCCTGAAGCTGGAAGTGGCGACGGGGGCTGACGGCTTCTCTGACAGCTGCTCCGAGGACTGCTCCGACGACCTCAGCTGTGCGGCAGCCCACATAGATCCAAATCTCCTCTTGCTGGTGGCTGACGAGGAGAAATGCCGGAATATCCGCAGGCAGTACCGGCAGCTCATCTATAACGTCCAGCAGAACCGGGAAGACATCGTGAACACGGCGAGCGACTCATTAACCGAGGCTCTGGAGGAAGCCAATGTCCTGTTTGATGGAGTGAGCCGAACACGGGAAGCAGCTCTCGATGCCCAGTTTCTTGTTTTGGCTTCTGATTTGGGTAAAGAAAAAGCAAAGCAGCTGAACTCGGATATGAGCTTTTTTAATCAAGTAGCATTTTGTGATTATCTGTTTATTTTTGTGGGTCTGAACTGGATGGAAGATGATGAACGTGATGCGTTGAATGGTTGTGATGATAACATAGTTCTTTCCTTCTGGGAGACAGTACATAAGGAAGCAACATCCTGGATATCGCAAGCCGAAACATTACACTTTCTCTTTGGTTCATTCAAGTCAGAGTCTTCTGCACCGAAGCGGCGACCTGGACACCATAAAAAAGCTCCCAGGGTGGAGGACAATGTGGATATGCCTACAAAGCTGAGGAGGCTGGACCTGAGTAGCAATCAAGAAGGGACAGAAAAAGAAGTGGAAAGAATCTTGGGGTTGTTGCAAACGTATTTTCGAAAGTATCCTGACACTCCCGTATCCTATTTTGAGTTTGTGATTGATCCAAATTCTTTTTCTCGTACTGTGGAGAATATATTCTATGTTTCTTTCATTATAAGGGATGGTTTTGCAAGAATAAGGCTTGATCAAGACAGGCTGCCAATATTAGAGCCCATTAATGTTAACCAAGTGGGTGAGGAAAATGATCCCAGTTCCCATGGCAGGAAACAAGGAGTTATATCTTTGAGTTTACAGGACTGGAAAAATATTGTGGCGACTTTTGAAATTTCTGAGGCTATGATTAAAAGCTCTTACTAAATATTTTTGTTCATAGTATAGGGTGCATTTCGTGGCTTTTCTAAAGAATCATCTCAAAATAGAGTGTAAAACCTAAATAGAAGCCCATATTGTATGTCTTGTAAAGTGAGAAAATATTTTCAAGAACATCAGAAACTGTCTTACTGTGCAGTGTATTTTTCTTGGTAGTTTATAAAGTTGTCATGATCTGTTATTTAAAAACAATCACTAGCATGTTCATGGAAATTTTTTGAATGTCCTTTATTAATAAAATTCAGTTCTAAATTTCATAAATTAAAAGGTATCTTATAATTTGCAAAAAAAAAGTATCAGTTATGCTCTGTGATACTGTATTCCTGTTACAGGGAATAAAATGAATCCCATATGGGATTCCTAATCAGGTTGGGGAAGGAGTGGGTAAAAAAAATGCTAAATTAAAGAAACACTGCCTGTAGGGCAGTGAATGTGCAATGTTAACACACACACACACACACACAGACACACACACAAACAGGTTCTTTGCTTCATTGCTAGGAAGACTTAGTAAGATTAACTCGTGGGTATCCACATTCTAAATAATTTTCCTGTGATTACTTCAAAAGAAATATAGTATCTACTGTAGATGAGGTGTCAACTAAGTGCTGAAATGTGAGTAGGAATTGGTCACAGATAGGAACGGTATACTGGACATGGAGGCAAATATAGGGAATTGTGAGAGGTTTATGGCATTAGAAAACCATAAGATCTTTATTCCAGTTGAATGTTAAACTGGGCAAAAATGAATTACCTTTTCTGTTAGTATTCTCAGAGGTAGAAGATACTTTTGTTAGATTATTTCAAACAAAATCTTTTAACATCTAGTTCTAGTCTTTATCTGCTTGGTTAATTTCTTCTTTGACTCCTACTTTTTCTTTGTAATTTCTGCTAGTACACCGTGTGTCCTTTAGAAATCAATGATGTTTCATTATGTAACAACAGCCTTGAATATCTGTTCTCAATTCAATTGTGCATTTCTTAATAGGGCTTTCAATGCCTGGAACTGCCCCCGTTTCAACTGAAATAATTGATTAATTTATTCATAAAGCTATAAATGCTCCGTTTTCTTCTTTTAAAACATAAACTAATGCCTTATTTGGAGGTTATTCCCGAAAATTTGGGTTTGTAAGAAAGCAGTTTTTTTTTTTTTTTTTTATATTTTATTGATTTTTTACAGAGAGGAAGGGAGAGAGATATAGAGAGTTAGAAACATCGATGAGAGAGAAACATCGACCAGCTGCCTCCTGCACATCTCCCACTGGGGATGTGCCCGCAACCCAGGTACATGCCCTTGACCGGAATCGAACCTGGGACCCTTCAGTCCGCAGGCCGACGCTCTATCCACTGAGCCAAACCGGTTTCGGCAAGAAAGCAGTTTTTGAAGGTGCAGTGAGCATGCCTATAAGCTTCTTTTCTTGATCCCTATAGGAATTTAATCTTTGGTACTGGTGGATTTTGCCATTAAACATTATTTGGCAGGTGGATACATATTTTGCATAGCAATAATGATAAATTTTCCTATTAAGTCTAGTGTGGTATGGAGAGGGGAAATCCAAAGACTAAATGAATGACATCAAGATTGAGAGGAGAGGTTTTTGTATGTGTAATATTGAAGGTTTTTTTTTAAGCAAAAATAGAAATTTCTTATGAAACTTGGCCAATTATTTTCCTATCAAATTAACCCTTAGATTTCCCAGTCAGTTTGAGTGGAGGTTCTGCATGTCATGACCCTTGACCTCCCCCACAGTTCATAATGTGGACAGATTAGTTCTCACACAAAATTTTGAAGGAATGCTGACCCTTCCTGGTTGTCTGTCACCCTTTTATTTAGCAGTCAGGACAGCATCTTTTGGTCTCACTGATCTTCACTTTAGCCTGTTTCTTTCTACCAATTGAGTTCCTTGATTTCCAGAGACTTGCTGTTTGAGGAAAAGATACTCTTAAAATGATAGCAAAAAAAAGAAAAAAATCTTGCCCCAGTTCTTTACTTGCCACCAGATTGCTCTGTTAAATGCCTAGTGTATTTACCAGGAGTATTTGAGACTTAGTGATGACTAAAAGCAATAATAGAGAATGTGAAGGTTTGGGGTCTTCTCTACAGTTATAGCTGTTAAAATATAAATAAAATTAACCACTTGTTTTGTTTTTACTGGTTGTCATGATACCTGGGTTGCCTTATCACTTTGAAATTAAAATGACTGCTTGCTTACCTTGAAGAAAAAGGTGAATTGACCAATAGGTAATTTAATTATAGAGACTTAGGTATCCACCAAATTGCAAATCTTGTGGGTTTCCCACTAATAATAGTCAGAGTGGCTCAAATTTTAGATTTCAATAAAATCAACTGAACTTAGGAGAATATTATGGCAAAAAGTTTTTTTTTACTAGAACTTTCTTATATAACAACCACTTTCTGTTTAAAGGACCTGGGATTAGATCCTGACCCTCTAATATTCTAGTAGAGACTTTGGGCAAATTATTGAACCTTTAAACCTTAGGGTTTTTTTGTATTTTGTTTTTTTTACTAAGTGAAAATAATATCTATCTCAAGTTTACAGTAAGGATAAAATTAGAAAATCTATGTGACAGTTACTTTAAAATATGAGCGATTTGGTATGATACAGTGAGAAAAAGAAGAGATTTGTTATCATACAGACTTGAGTTCCATTCTTAGTTCATGGCAAGGCTCTTAATCTCTAAGTGTTTTTATATTGTCATTTCTGAAATGGGAAAGACAGCTGGTTGGAAGACTATTGTGAGAATTAAATGGTAATACACATACGTACAGTGTGCACGCGTGCACACACACACACCTACCCCACCTCACCTCCTGTAGCACCATATCGCTCGCTCATCGTGAGCACTCATATTGGTGCCTCATTCTCTAGATCAGGGTTAGAAAATCCATGCTGCCACCTCCTTCCATGGTGACTATCTCTGTCATGGTTTATTCACTTTATTTCAAGTTTAGATATGACCTCATTTGTTTTAGGAAATCAGTTACCAAGAGATTGGAATTGGTGCTTTGTTGATTTATGTACCAACTACTTGAGTGCCCACTGTGGCCAGGTACTGCTCTAGGCACTAGGGAAAAAGTGGTGGACAGAATATGACCCAGCTCTCATGGAATTTATATTTTACTGGGTGTATTAGTTTCCAATTGCTTCTATAACAGATTACCATTTAGTGGTTTAAAACCAATTATGTTTTATAGTTCTGGAGTTTGGAAGTCCAAAATTGGTTTCTCTGGGCTAAAATATTGTTTCTGCACACTTGAGTTGCTCTCAGTATTATTTGTGCACACTTGAGTTGCTTTCGGTATTATTTTTGCACACTTGAATTGTTTTTGGCATTGTTTTTGCACATTTGAATTGCTTTTGGCCTTTTTAAGGGGAATCTGGAGCAGTGTTTTACTGGGGTGGGGGAAAGACATTACTGAGAGGCAGATGGAAGAGAGGAAAGAATAGCTAATATGTAAGCCCAGCAAACACCTGCAGGTGGGGTGTTGTGTATTTACACTTATGTCCTACTAGAGGCCTGGTGCATGAATTCCTGCATGGGTGGGGTCCCTTGGGGTGGCCTGCGGAGATCTGGCCCCAGCTTGTGCCCCTAGGTTCACAGCCCCAGCTCAGCCCCCAGCCCCTTAGCTCCGTAGCCATGCCTGGCACACTGCCTTGGCCTGGCTGGCGCCACCCCCTCACCTGCTCCACCATCCCACCTGTGGGGCGATTGATTGGGGCTGGGTCCCCGACCCAGGTCCCTCAACACCTGGGATCCAGGCAGCAGCCACCGCCCCTCACTGCCCCTGCTGGTCGCCGTCTGTGGGGCAATCAGCAAGGCGATCGGGCCTCCGCTCGCATGCACCTTGGCCTGGCGCTGCCCGCTCACCTGCTTCACCATCCTGCCATGGTCCCACTCTCATCAGGGCCCATTGGGGCTGGCAGCGCCTCCACTGCTGCCTGCTGCCAGCGCTGCATCACCGATGCCTGCCATGTTCGTGCCGCCCCCTGGTGGTCAGCACACGTAATAGTGAGCCGTTAAACTCCCAGTTGAGCTCTCAAGGGGACAGTTTGCATATTAGGCTTTTATTATATAGGATAGCATGGTTCTCAGTGAGGTCTGGATTCCTATAGGGGCCCCTGAGGCTCTTTCAGGAAGTTCTTGAGGTCAAAAATATCTTAGTAATACTAAGATGCTGTTTGTCCCTTTCACTCTAATTTTTTTGCAAGTCTACCATAGAGTTTTCCAGAGGGTACATGCATGACAAGTGATGTTACAATAGAGTGAACACAGAAAAGATATGGGCTGCCTTTTATTAAGACAGACATTAAAGAGAATTACCAAGATATAAAACAATGCCACTGTTCTTGCCAATTAAAAATGTTTTAAATAAATTATGTTTAATTAAATATTAAGATATTTAATGACTTACAATATTTTAAATCTTTTCTTAGTTTTAATTTTTAATATGATAAATATTATAAATAAACCCCATTAATCAAAGCTCTTTGGGGTTCTAAAAATTTCAAATTGTAAAGGGATTCTGAGAGTAAAAAACTTTGAGAATTCTTCTGTATCACCTACTGTAATTAGCAGCCACTATTTCTAGTAGTTGTAATTGAAGGTGAAAGGAAGGAACATTTTTCTCTAGTCTGCTTACCCCATCTGTATGCTCCTTTCTTACATTGCCTGGCGGAGCTGTCTTCTACTGTCACTTATTTATATTTCAGATGGGAAACCAGTTTCCTGCAGCTGAATTACAGTAGTGTCACTTTTAATTTAGATTAAAATATGAAGATGTCATGGTTAGTTCTGGAGTCAGCTGAATGCTTCAGTGCCTGTCTTTGTGATTTTACAGAATTAAAAATGTTCAGGCTCTCTCAGAGCTTGCTTTGTAAAGTCTGTACACTGGTTGATATAATCTGACTTTAACTTTGGACCATAAGAACCCAGGTCTGATACAGAATTTCAGCACAGAACAGATTATAAACATTGTTGGAGGGAGTATGTGGCATGATGCTGCTGCTTTTTTTTCTCTTGCTCTAGTAGCTATTTTGGGGGAGGTTGTTGTAAGAATGGGTGGTTTTCTTTCAGGCAGCCAGTGATTGTGTTCTGGCATCGTTTGTGTCAAGTAGATTCAGATAAAATGAGGCTGAGATTCAAAATGGTTATTTTCCAGAAGAACATCTAAGTGCATTTATCAATTCTTTCAGGCCAGCAAGTCAGCTTTATGTTCTTTAAAAAAATTTTTTTTCTAGCTTTATGCTCTGTGATACCAACTAGAGCAGCGGTTCTCAACCTGTGGGTTGCGACCCTTTTGGGGGTCGAACGACCCTTTCACAGGGGTTGCCTACGACCATTGGAAAACACATATATAAGTACATATTGTTTTTGTGATTAATCACTATGCTTTAATTATGTTCTATTTGTAACAATGAAATTGGGGGTCACCACAACAAGAGGAACTGTATGAAAGGGCCGCAGCATTAGGAAGGTTGAGAACCACTGAACTAGAAAGTAATGCTTGTTATCTGAAAATTATATTGGTCCTTTGATCTGAATGGCTATTGTTATCAAATTGTTTTTCCTCCCACAGTGCCTTGTGTTGAAGGAGGAGCCTCTGCCATAATGCCAGTTGATGAATACTGGCTGTGTTTACCAGCCTCTCATGTTAGACCTTTTGTACAGACCGTCAGGGTGATGCACACTTGTCCCCACTGTTGCTGGTTTCCAGGTGTTCTGTCTTGCATCCCTGGGCCATCATGTGTACCTGCTATGCTGCCAAGGGGCAGCCACAGTGCTGCGCCTCCCCCTCCTCTTCCTCTTCCTCCGCCATCAGCACCACCTCCCTCTGTTGCACCCCCTTCCACATCCCAAGCATCCTGTTCTACTGACCCCAAGCTCAGCCTTTCACCCTCAACATCCGAGGTAGGCAGGAGAAAAATGTAAAGTCTAGGCTGGTAAGTTGGGGGGTTTTTTTGTATTAAGGTTAAAACTTGATTTTTAAAAAACATTTTTTATTATGCTTATTAACTTTTCCCGTTATTACATATTAGCACAGATTTTTTATTTTAATGAATGGTAATATTAAGTATATCACCAAAACTGTATTTAAAGCTAATGCGAAATGGTAAATAATGTGTATAAAAACCAGGGGAATGAACTTTTTTAAAATTAAAAGTCCAGCCCTGACCAGTTTGGCTTAGTGGCTAGAGCGTTGGCCTGTGGACTAAAGAGACCCAGGTTCGATTCTGGTCAAGGGCATGTACGTTGGTTGCGGGCACGTCCCCAGTAGGGGGTGTGCAGGAGGCAGCTGATGGATGTTTCTCTCTCATGGATGTTTCTAACTCTCTATCCCTCTCCCTTCCTCTCTGTAAAAAATCAATAAAATATATATATATATATTTTAAAAAAGACTGTTATGTGCCAAGTATATGGAATCTAAATACTGAATACAATACAGGAGGCTTCATGTATAGGTAGATTAAATAAATGAGCTTTATAGAGTTATTTTTATTTCTTTACCCCCACCCCTCCTTTTTTATTCAAATGCCCTGCAGAATTAAGGACTTTTCCATTTATGTCAATTGATGATTTATTTCTGAATTTCTAGATTTTATGCCTTACCTAAACAATATAGAAAAGTCTTAAGTATTTGGCTAATCTGTTTCAATGGCTAGTCACCAGGCCACTCACTATCTTCATCTGAGATCCTAGCCTACACATTATTGTACCTTTGACTTGAAAATAAAGATGATTGGCAAATTGTATTGATGATTCTATTAAAAACATACAGTACAAATGTTTAAAAACCTAATTCAAAACCTAGTTTAAAAATTCTGGGATATGCCCTAGCTGGTTTGGCTTAGTGCAGTGGTCGGCAAACTCATTAGTCAACAGAGCCAAATATCAACAGTACAACGATTGAAATTTCTTTTGAGAGCCAAATTTTTTAAACTTAAGCTATTTAGGTAGTTACATTGTTATTAACTTAATTAGGGTACTCCTAAGGCTTAGGAAGAGCCACACTCAAGGGGCCAAAGAGCCGCTTGTGGCTCACGAGCTGCAATTTGCCAACCACGGGCTTAGTGGATAGAGCACCGGCCTGTGGACTGAAGGGTCCCAGGTTCGATTCTGGTCAAGGGTACATTGCCCAAGTTGTGGGTTCGGTCCCCAGTGGGGGGGCGTGCAGGAGGCAGCCAATTAATGATTCTCATCGTTGATGTTTCTTTCTCTCTCCTTCCCTCTCTGAAATCAATAAAAATATATTTTTTAAAAAAGAACAAGCCTGAGTTCCTTCTTCAATATTAAAAAAAAAAAGTTCTAGGATAAAAGGACAGATCAAATTTAATTTAGGCCTAAATTGATTTTGTTGGGCCATCAGCACCTTACTTATGTGACACTTGGAGTAGCTATCTGTGATGTGAGAAGACTGACTGTTTCATTTGTGTGCTGTAATATAAATGAAACAACATTTTTTCTTTGAAAAACTCCTTTTGCTTTAAAGAAAGGTTTTTCACAAAACTCTTCAGACATTGCTGCTTATAAGTTAAATTATTTTCCCTTTCATTGTTTTTGTTCTTTAGGCTTATCAAGAGGGCAGACTTCAAAAGCTACTAAAAATGAATGGCTCTGAGGATCTTCCCGGGACCTACGACTATGATCTCATCATCATTGGAGGGGGCTCAGGAGGACTGGCAGCCGCTAAGGCAAGTCTTTTTATGTGTTATGTGGGTTACAGCAGTTCTCCAGATTCTCGGTGGAATTTGAGCCACTTTTGTGACATTTTGCACATTAACTTGGGTAGGACATGTTAAGGGGACCACTTTATTTATAAGTCATTTTTCCAGCTTGAACTAAATGTTCTTTATTTTTTTAAAAAGATACTTGTATTGATTTCAGAGTGAGGAAGGGAGAGGGAGGGAGAGATATAGACAGCAATGATGACAGAGAATCACTGATCGGCTGACTCCTGCGCGCGCACACACACACTGATGATCAAGCCCGCAACACTGGCATGTGCGCTGACCAGGAATTGAATTGTGACCTCCTGGTTCATAGGTCGATGCTCAACCACTGAGCCACGCTGACCGGGCTGAACAGATATGTTCTTTACATAAAAGTACTGGACTTAGTATTATTGGGATGCATTTTTATTCATTTTAAGTTTGGTGGATTTTTCAAAGATAATAAGGGTGTTATGTGGAAATGGTTTGAAATTAAATATATTACTTATTCTTAATAAAATTTTTTTTTTCACTTTGATGTTCCTATTCACAACTCCTCCTCTACAATAGAAAGATGGAGAGTGGTTAGGTTTCTTAAACTCAGTAAAAATGATTTGCCTCTTGTGTATATACTGTGAGCTAAGAGAATAACCACTAACACTGGCCTGGGGGTGGCCGGTAGAGGATTACACATAAGAGAGGTCGGAGTGAGGCTCCTAGCCCTGAGTTGAGATTCATTTGCCATGTGTGAAGGGGCCCTTGGGACTGTCATTCTTGCTGAAGAGGTTCTTTTAAAAGATGAGGTGCTTATACTCCGTGTAGCTTGTGGTGAATCAGTAAGGGTAGATTCAAAGGAAGCTGCCCAATATCGGAATAGGCCAATACCTGGTATTAAGCAGTGCTTTGCTATAAATGACTAAGGCCTAGTACTGTGGATAGGTATTTTACTGACGTAATGGTGGTTTTGGAGGACACATAGACTCAGTATTTTCAAATAAACCTTGGAGGTCTAGTTGCTAATACACAAAGCTTATTCTCTGAGAGAGGTAAAGGATGCTCTTCAAAATGAATTTTTGACTGTCATCACTCCCCTAAAATAGATTGGGAAATCTTATAGATACCAACTTTTTCATTGGCTCCTCACATTAGTAAATCTGACAATTTTAAAGGAATAACTTCTCCAATATTCTGCCTAGAAACAAAACTTAAAAGTACTTTAAAAAAGATTTTAAGATACAGGCTGGATCAAGGATTATAGGTTATCAGTAAGTCTGTTTTACTGGGTACTTAGCACTTGCTTTGAAATGGTCATATGTTTTTCAGATGATCTCTTAATTTGTTACTGTTTGAGTGGAATTATGTAAGAGGATGCTAAGATTTCCAGCTGATGGACAATTTTATAACTAATTTGTGTGTTCTTAAAGCCACTCATAGGATTATCTAAATATTGCTTAATCGCAAGGAGAAAAGAAAAACCCATTGTGGATTTATACTTTTGCTTTTGTCTTAAAACCCATTTTGTCCATATCCTGGAACTTAGTGGATTTTTTTTACCATATTTTTTTCTTGAAATAGCACTAATTTTGGTATATGAAATTCCCAGGTATTAATAACTGATGTTGCTTTAGGCATTGTAGCCTAATAAAAATAGCATGGATTTTTTAACATCCCATTTCCAGTCTGTCATGTTAACTTTTCTAACTCATTTCAATAATTTTATTTTCTAGGAGGCAGCCAAATATAACAAGAAGGTGATGGTCCTGGATTTTGTCACTCCAACTCCTCTTGGAACTAAATGGGGTAAGTTTTTAAAATATTTTAGAAGTGAATATTTGTAGGAGCAGGTTTTTCCTTGGTATTGGTTTAAATGGCTCCTAAAATCTAATTAATAAAATTAAAAATTAAACAAACAACCAGCCCTGGCAGTGGCCCAGTTTGTTGGAGCGTCATCCATCCTGTACACCATAAGGTGGAGTGTTCAATTCCTGGTCAGGGCACATACTCAGATTGTGGGTTCAGTCTCTGGTCAGAGTGTGTGGGAGGCAACCAATCCATATTTTTCTCTCACATTGATGTTTTTCTCCCTCCCTTCCTCTCAAATCAATTAAACAAAACAAACCCCAAAACATGTACCTTTTACTTAGGAAAATTTAGGTTCCTGGAAGTTAAGATCATACAGAACTTTACCCACAACTTTTATGATGATTTAAAGCTAAATCGTACCATTTTGTTCACCTCCTCACCTGCCTACATTTTACTCTCATGGAGACAGCTATCACCATGTTTTAAGCTCAGACATGCTAATCTTTTTTTTTTTTTTTTTTAAGAATTCTTTTGTGAGAATCAGCAAAAGCTAAAGACCACACCATCTTCTTTAAAACATGCTCATATATTGAGGCCTGCGCAGGTCCCAACCTGACTGTGGTTTGGAGTTGCTATCTGCCTCATAAAGTAAAGTAGAGGATTTGTCTTCTGGGAGGACTAAGTCGTCTTCTCCTCTGATAAAGCCTCTCACATAGTTGGTTTTGTCATCTTTTAGGAATAGGAGGGCAAGTACTGAGGCCTCAGGAGTCTGGGTTTTCATTTGAGGTAGAAAGAGAAGATAGTGGTTAGAACTAGAAAGTCGAGAGCGGGGTGTCGTTACTTCCAGAATATGTCACTGTTAACCCAGCCTGGGCTTCATGATAGTCATAGAGATGGATTCCTTAATAATAAAATAGTAATAAAAATACAGTTTATAAAATGCTCATATATACCATATTTTATATGTAGTTCCAGGCCCACTACAGTTCAATTATGCTCAGTTTCACAACCCCTTTATCAGGTAGTTCTGCTCATAGATTCAATGGCAGGCATGGGTTGTGCACAAAGTAAAATTTCAATTTCTAGCATCTTTATCAGCAGGCAATTAATTTTGAATCTTTGCAGTAGGTGGACATTTGCTCATTTTTGTGTTTTCTGATGTCTGTGTTTGGTATATAAGGCTATCTGAACTTAGAAATGTCACAGGACTTAGGGATAAACTTGTCTAAACAGTATTGGCTACATTAAGCAAATAAACTGTGGTTCATAGACTAGTAATAATTGTGGATCTTTTTCTTTGAAGGATTGTAAAGCAGGTTGTGAACTGATTTCTCAATGTTGTTGCAGGTCTCGGAGGAACATGTGTGAATGTGGGATGCATACCGAAGAAGCTGATGCACCAAGCAGCTTTGTTAGGACAAGCCGTGCGAGACTCTCGGAACTATGGATGGAATGTTGAGGAGACAGGTATGGGGGGGAAAGCTGTGTTCCCTTTGTGCTTTGGGGGGTTTGAGCTGTGATCTTGCAGTACATCATCCATTTTTATGAGACTAGCAATAACCTGGAAGTTGTTTTTATTTACATTTTTAATGGATAAAATCACTACAGTTATCCTGTGTCAGGTGGTGACATAGCTATTATGGTAAGAACAGATATTGCACTTAGAGTTTTTTTCTTTACTAGAAAACCAGAATTCTTTCAAAGAAATCATAGAGAATTTCATAGAGGAGTACAAATTACATTTACTTTCCTTTGAAGCTGTTACCTTTTTCTCAGTTCAAAGAAGTCTGTTTCATGAGCTGATATTTTGGGGGTAGAGGATGGTTAGCCTTTGTCAGATTAAAAGTATTTGGAGCCCGGTCAGTGTTGCTCAGTGGTTGAGCATTGACCCATGAACTAACACAGTGGTTCTCAACCTTCCTAATGCCACGACCCTTTAATACAGATCCTCATGTTGTGGTGACCCCAACCATAAAATTATTTTTGTTGCTACTTCATAACTGTAATTTTGCTACTGTTATGAATCGTAATGTAAATATCTGATATGCAGGATGTATTTTCATTGTTACAAATTGAACATAATTACAGCATAGTGATTAATCACAAAAACAATATGTAATTATATATGTGTTTTCCAATGGTCTTAGGTGACCCCTGTGAAAGGGTCGTTCGACCCCCAAAGGGGTCTCGACCCATAGGTTGAGAACCGCTGAACTAACAGGTCGCTGGTTTGATTCCTGGTCAGGGCACATGCCCAGGTTGCAGGCTTGATCCCCAGTAGGTGGCTGTGCAGAAGGCAGCCAGTTGATGATGTTTCTCTCTCATCGATGTTTCTATTTCTTTGTGCCTCTCACTTCGTCTCTAAAAGTCAATAAAAGCATATTTAAAAAAAAAAAAGCATTTAGAGTACCCTAGAAAAGTTGAAGAGGAATTTGTTGACTTTATCTGGTAGGAGAATGACATGAGGTCTGGCACAGCTTCATGGCTAATTAATGACGTAGGTCACTAAGTCCTTTGGAGAATGAAACTCTAGCCCCTATCTGATTTAAGCCTTGAGATCTATGGGTTATGGGACATTTGAGGGACATCTTTCATCCAGAAGCTGGGGTAAATTATTTTGTGACTTTTAATTAATAGTTGATTATTTTTTTTTAAAGGCCTGCGTACATGCTTTGAAAAACTTTGCTTCCACTCAAACTAGTCAGGTTTCCTTTATTGATGCTTTTCTTTCTCGTTTTTTGATCCCTGGCATCTCCACCAATAAATGAATAAATAGATAGATAGATAGATAGATAAAAATAAAATAAAATAAAATAAAATTAACTTTTTTCCCAAGTCTGGAATCTTAGAAAATCAGTTATTTTAAAAGTTTCCTGGGGTCATATCTCTTCCTCAGACCTTAGAAGGCTACTTTCTGGGTTTTTGGGATCTTAAAAACATAAGAGATAAGTATAGGCCTCTGCTGAATGTAAATTTTATTAATAGGGCCAACTGAATATTATTTTAATAGATTCAGTAATCAGGTGGGTGGTGAAATATAACTTGGTAATTTGGTAAGTCTTCTTTCAAGCAAAAGAATGTCTCTGTCACTGTTATGTAATAACTAGGGGCCCGGTGCACGAAATTCGTGCACATTGCGCGAGGGGGGTGTGTCGTCCCCTCAGCCCAACCTGCACCCTCTTCAATCCAGGACATCCCTCTCACAGTCTGGGACCACTGGCTCCTAACTGCTCACCCGCCTGCCTGCCTGATCGCCCCTAATCGCCTCTGCCTGCGGGCCTGATTGCCCCCAACTACTCCCCTCCTGCAGGCCTGGTTGCCCCACACAGCCTGCTGTTCAGTCTTTGGTCGTCCCTCACTAACACCCCTGCCGGCTTGGTTGCCCCACACAGCCTGCTGTTTGGTCATCTGTCCGGTTGTTTCGGTTGTGATGGCCCTTGGCTTTTTATATATTAGAATAATGAGCATTGGCTATTTTTTATGTTGAATTTATTTCTAAGTTATATAATAAGAACTAATAAATGCACTGCAACGGGGGTAATAAAAACCACTAGAAGCATAGCCCACATCTGTGCAGCAAAAGCTCCCTGAATTTCATGGGAGTTTTAAAACTTAATTCAAGGCTTTTTTATTTGTCTATCCTTACAAAAATTATTTATCCAACCAATTTAAGTTTTGCCACTTTTGTGTCTCCTCCCCCTTTCCATATTTTAAAGTAGAAATACATAGTTTTCTATTTTTATACCTTACACCTCTTGTATTTGTCAGCCACAAAAGCAATCTCCGTCTTTGTAGTTAAATCCCTTCACTCTTCCCAAGTTGAAGCCTGGTGGTTTGCTTATTGTTATCTTCAGCTTTTCTCATTAAGCTGAAGCAGGCAGTGGCCTAGCTGTGAGAACCAGAGGCGGGCTTTGTAGGAGTGGCCTATCAGGATCCACTGAGGGAGCAGTAATTACTCCCCTCCTTTTGTGTTTAAAATGATTGTGGTAAAGAATCAGTGGATTTGGACAAATGTTGATGTCATTAGATCTTAGAGGAAGAAGGAAACTTAGAGATGTAATTTTCAGATGAGAATCCCCTAGAGACTGCTGATTCATGTTCCTAACAGATAAAGCGAGAAGGCTTATTTTGCATTTTTCTTATAGAAACAGATCTAATTGTATGTCCTTGAATAAAGAACTGTGCTCAGTTTTCTGGGAAGAGTCTTCTCTGACACTGAAAATAGTTCCCAGTGTGGTGAGGGAGGACAGGGACGGCTGAGTCTGCCCAGGGACAGGGGAGTGACACCTACGGGACGCAGCCTGTGATCTGACATTTCCCTGAAGCTCCAAATGGAGGAAGTACAGAAAGCATCTAAGGCCTTAAAAAGAATTACTTGAGCCCCGTTATGTAAATTGGATGAATTGGTCCTTTCTGGAAGATGAATAGGCTTTATATTTTCCAAGATTTCCCTATTTGAATTCTCCTGTGCTTAAGAATTATGTGTATCTTTAAAATATTAAATATTTGGAAAGCTTTAGAATCCCATTGTCAATAGAAAGCAAGCAAGCTCATTGGTTTGCAATTGGGGGCTTGCAGTTTGGGATAGATTCTCCTACCACACACCTGTCTTTTCACATACACTGTCTGCGTTTGCCACTGGGTTAGTGTGTGGCCTTGGGCAGGCCATTCGTCCTTCTTGGGTTACAGCTGGTAGACCAGGCCAGTGGAATTGGGAGGCCTAGGAGAAATGCTGGGGCCCTGCCGGCAGATGGGTGAGTGTGGGGATGTGGAGTATTCAAGTAATATTTGGGAATACAGTGCATTTATCCCTTATTATACAATTTAGAAATTTTATCCATTGAAGGTGGTGGATTTAGGCATTATCAGAAGACAGGGCAGCCCTGGAGAACTGGGGTTTAGCAATGCTATGACCAATAGTCCAACAAGGATCCAGTGACCATAATAGTATGGAAAGTAGGAATTTGGGTTTTACAAGACCAGAAATTCAGTTTCCAGACTGGAATGCAAGGTCAGGACATAGGAGCAGCTAGAGTGCCCTTATGCTAAATCCCAAACTGGTGGGTGGAACTTTTAAAATCCTTCTGCCTGATCAGAATCACACTATAGAGATTGGGGATGGATGGTGGTTGGCTATCCCCTTATCAGAGGATCAAGGAGCGCTGGTAGAAAAGGGGGTTTGAGAAGTTTGGGAATCTGGGGATCTGACGGCAACAAAGGAAGGCTGACTGAGATTGGATTCGGTCTAATCATTGAATTTGGATTTCTGTCATTGAAATAACAATTTGTTGGTGCTGTTATTTACTCTCAACTATGTCTTCTTTTAGAATATGGTATCTGCTATAGGATTAGCAGAGTATAGTCACTTAGTAGTTCTACAGCTGTAAAGTTTCAGAAGTGCATCTTCCCTTTAATCTAGTCCCCTGTTTCTTCATGGGGGCGTTAATGGCAGTGGCACTTCGTTGGGCCAGACAGCTCCTAGTTGTAAGGAACTGTAGTGAAGGATGTTTAGCATTACTGGCCCTTGGGCATCCCTAAATCACTGTAACTAAGCCAAAATCACCACTAATAAAATGCTGGGGTTTGCTTAAATATCCTAGTTTTTTTTTAAAAAAGAGTGGACCCTGGCCAGTGTTGCTCAGTGGTTGAGCATGGGCCTATGAACCAGAAGGTCTTGGTTCAATCAGGGCACATACCTGGTTTTGTGGGCTTGATCCTAGTAGGAGGCCTGCAAGAGGCAGCCTATCAATGATTCTCTCTCATCATTGATGTTTCTCTCCCCGCCTCTCTCTCCTTCCCTCCCCCCACCCACCCTCTTCCCTCCCTCCCTCCTTCCCTTTCATTTCTAGATAAAGAAGAAAAAAGTTGAGAATGGTTATTTTAGTCTTAAGAATGGCCAGGAAGCTTTGCATTATTTAGTATTATGGTAGTTTTCTAAAAAAGAAAGAATATTTGAAGATTAAAAGGTTGTTTATGGCTTGAAATGAAGGACTTGCCCTTTTCAACTAAAAGCTCTGCTCTTTGTATTCCATGTAAATAGTTACTGAGAAACGATCTTCGCCAGGCAGTTGAAAGGCTAAATGTCTTGTCTTATTTCCTTGTGCAGTTGGACATGACTGGGGGAAAATGACCGAAGCCGTGCAGAATCACATTGGCTCTCTGAACTGGGGCTACCGCGTGGCTCTGCGGGAGAAGAAAGTCACCTATGAGAATGCATATGGGCAGTTTGTGGGTCCTCATAGGATTAAGGTAATTGTGTGACAGCCTAAGTAGCTTCTTTTGGTTTGTGTTGGAGGCAAGGGAGGAAAGGAGAAGGGGATCATCCTCATGAAAGTAATAGCACTGTGACCCAGAGTGCCCAGTGTGGTGATTTTGCCATCACATCTCCTTGTGGGGCTTTCTTCTGTGGAGTTGGAGAGAGTGAGAGAACTAGATTCAGGGCCACACCATCTGGATTTGAGTCGTGGCTCTGCCATTTATTGGCATAGTGACCTTGAGCAAGTCCCGTAATTGCTCAGAGCCTTAATATCTCTTATGTATTACCAAATTTATATGCGGGTCAAATTGGACAATGTGGTGAATGGCCTTTATTAATTGTGAAGTTACAATTCTACGTCATGAGAACTATTAAAAACTGACATTTTGGTTCCTTTGTAGACAACGAATAACAAAGGCAAAGAAAAAATTTATTCAGCAGAGAGATTTCTCATTGCTACCGGTGAAAGGCCACGTTACTTGGGCATCCCTGGTGACAAAGAATACTGCATCAGCAGGTAAGGAAAAAATCGCAGAGAGGAAAGAAAAACTCATTGTGGATTTATGCTTTTGCTTTTGTCTTAAAACCCATTTTGTCCATTTCCTGGAATTTAGTGGATTTTTTTTACCATATTTTTGCCCAAAAGGGCAGGGGGTTGGGAAAAAAGAGAAAGGAAAAATTATTTTAGATATGAGACTATTTTAAAAATTAAAACCCATAAACATTGGTCATCTTACCACCCAGAGTTTATATCACTAACATATAGATGTATGCTTATATTGAAATTTATATATGTGTGAGTATGTTTTATGAATGTATTTTATAAAACCAGATGGACAGTCACAAACATTTTGTGAAATGATACATATGTGTGTATATATAGGATCGTCTGTTACCTTACCCTTTAACACTTGCAGTGTGACACTGAAAGAATGAGAGGATGGCAGACCATTTAGATTTATCAAAGCCTGGTCCCTATTCACTGTTCAAATGTTTGCAGTGTCAGTGTAGGTGAACCTTCCGAAATAAGTGAGTCAAGTAAGAAGGTTTTGCTAAGTGATTTATTTTTGTCCCAAGTGATAATACTGGTGACATTGTTTTTCAGATGTTTTAAATTATCAAGACATTACGATAGATTGTTGATAAACATGTCCTCTTGGATGCTTTTCCCCCAGTGTATCTGATTGTGTTATAGATTACTCTTTTTCAGGCCTTTTTTGGGGGGTGGGGGTATGATTTATTTCCTCTGTGCTTCATATAGGGCCAGCTCTGATGGCAACTGTTGTCTTTGTTGTTTTGAATAGGCTCCCTTCTCAAAATTTAAAAAATTTATTTTCTAATTCTTATGTGATTCCACTCATATATTCAGTATTCTTCATTGAGCAAGAAGATTTTGTCAGATTTTACTTTTTATAACTGACGTTTACATACAAAGACTGTATGTTGGGTTTTTCCCCACTCTTGATAATTGGTATTCCAGATAAGAAGTACTAGACTTCCCACCTCAGGGAGCGCTGAGTGGTGGGATGAGGTTTAGATTTTCAAATGTAGGATATTAAACACAGTAGTGAAGAGTTGTTCCAGACAATTCAGAATCGGTTTGTTTGACTGTGAGTTGGACTGTGGTCAGAAGTTACATAGTTTGCTGTGTTTGGCCCCAGAGTAGTTTGAGCTACTCCCTAAGCCACTGGGTGGCAACAAAGGGAGAGTCTAAGACCTTATAAAAACTTCTCATATTATGTATGTAGCTAATTAAATTTTTACATCTTAAAGGTGTCTCGCTCAGAAGAAAGTAAAAATATTTGCTTTGATTTGGTCATTATTCCCATGAACATTTTTTTATTTCTGCCTTTTTTTTTTTACAAATCTCGTTTCAGTGATGATCTTTTCTCCTTATCTTACTGCCCGGGCAAGACCCTGGTGGTCGGAGCATCCTATGTCGCTTTAGAATGTGCTGGGTTTCTTGCTGGCATTGGTTTAGATGTCACTGTTATGGTACGATCCATTCTCCTTAGAGGATTTGACCAGGACATGGCCAACAAAATTGGTGAACACATGCAAGAACATGGTGTCAAGTTTATAAAACAATTTGTACCAATAAAGGTAAGTGGATTTGCCTATAAGTTTGTTGGTTCTGTACACATATTAAAAGTTATGAAATAGATTTCTATAGGTGATAGAAGCATCTTCTCAGAATTATAAACCATAAGGGACACTGTGATTCCTCAATTGTGTGGTAGTGGTATGTAAACTTGTACCTACCTACCGCCTAAATAGCTTTGTTCTTATTTGCAGAATAATAATTTACCTTTGGTTCTCTTCTGTTTAATACTTCCCTTTATGCATTCCTTTATTATCTTTGGTCTGTTATACTTTGTTCCTTCATACATACCAGTGATTTAAATAAGAGTTCTAGACTAGGCAGATTTTAAAAATTTCCCGTAAGACATTTCTCCTACGTGTACAGTGTAGTCAGTAGATGTGCTATACTCTTCTGGCTTCCCTGAATACAATGACCTATTTTTGTTACATGGGGTGACCTTTTTTGTTCATTTCATCTCCTCTTGAAAGGGCCGAACAATATGACAAGTTATATTGGGACTTGTTAACATTACCATAGATGTTTGATATGTAAGAGTGACAGAATCAAACACTTTGTGAATCTCAGATTAATAGTTTCCTTTAGTGCAGGTGAGGATGGAACTGTTTTGTTAAAGTTAAGGAATTTTAGCTGTTATTTTAAAAATTGCTTCGTGGGTTAACATAGTTTCATTGTGTGACCATGAATCTCATAGTGTTGATAGCATATGGAGCACCGAGGTCAGAATGGTGTGGATTTAATACTGTTCTGCCAGTTTCTTGCCATATGACTTTGGGGGAATTACTTAACCTCTCAGAGCTTCAGTTTTCTTTTATAAAAGTGGGATGATAATAGCACCTATCAGTTCTTGTGAAGATCGCAGTAGCTTACAGTTAGAAAGACGGTTCTGGCTCAGAGTAGGTCTAAGATGAACTTATCTCATAATATTGTAGTGAGGATTAAGTAACAGATGTCCTGAAGGTTATCAGTACTGATTGCTTTAGCTGTTTTTTAGGGAGTGGAGGTATATGATTAGAAAACAATGGCTATCAGTAATGCCATACTGATAGGAAAGCAGCATCTTTTTTTTTTTTATAACACCTGGGGACTTGTGGGCCCCTTTGAGGACCTGGTGGACTATCCCTGGTGAAATAAACCTGTTTCTGTGTACATAACATCTTGCTGAGGTTACCAGGTGTCTGATTCCCCAGAGGCTAGCGTGAATGCTTGCTACATTATAAAGCGACTGAATGGAAGAAGCCTCTGCAGAGAGTAGGGATAGAGGGCATTTGGGGCAAAGAACAAAGTATGAGCAAAAATGCTGTTGGGAATAAAATTGTTCTAAATGCAGAAATTGTTCTAGATACAGAAAAAACCTGACTGGAACAGAAAAGTGAGTAAGGCAGGAAGGAATTAGAAGTGGGGTGAGGCCCTTATAATTTTTAAGCAAATCTAAGCCATGGACCAGTTCAACTTTTCTCCAAAGATTAGAACATTATACCTTAAATTAAATGGGAAAGACATTTCTTAACTGTATAAGAAAGCAAGGGAGTTCAAGAAGGAAATCTTGACTGTCTATTTAGATGTTGAAAATAAAATCAATCGTGACAGTTTCCCACACAGAGCGGTTGTATTTTAAAGGGAGGGTAGACAGTGCAGGTTATGTTTATGGATTTCTCCAGTAAATACTTTACAGAGACCCATGATTTGACTGTCATTCAGAGGCAACAAAGGTTCACTACATACTTGCAGAAGCCTCCAGGTAGTAGGGTTTCTTAGTCATCGTCACCAAGTTACCATGGACATCTATGTGTAGTAGGCTAGTATGTTCAGTCTCATCATAGCACAAGAACCAGGACTGCTCATTTCCTCCCTACATCCTTTCTGAAGACAGCCCATGGTGATGACAAACAGACACACCTCCTTGCCCGCTATGGTTTTTAGGGCTTTCTAGGTGTTATCTGTATCATGATTGATCTGCCCTCATGTCTGTTCTTTTATGGAGCTGAGCATCTGTAGTCAAAAGAGAACCTCTTGAATATGAGCAGCAGTGGCTCTCCAGGGGATTAGTGGTTCTGGGTGACTTACATTGGTTTGATTTTAGGGATTGTAGTCTGCTTTCTCTGGCTTTCCCTGTCCCTTTTCTCTCTGAATTCTGCATAAGAACTGTGTGAAAGAAAACCCCTCTAGCAAACATTAAGCAGTGAGAAAAGAGATTAATAAGAGAATCACATTATCCTAATGATGCTGAGATGAGGGAGATAGGACATGAAAGACCTTTCAAACCAGATTTTGTGTTAACATTGGGTTAACCAGACAGAAAGGGAGAAAGTATCCACTTGATACATGTCTTTATTGTTGAGTAAAACCTTATCACTTTTACAGGTTGAACAAATTGAAGCAGGGACACCAGGCCGACTCAAGGTGGTAGCTAAGTCCACCAATAGTGACGAAGTCATCGAAGGAGAGTACAATACGGTAAGGAACGGATATAGATACAGGTTCAGATTTCAGATTTCTCCACTGTAACTTAAAATATTGTTTATTAAATGGCTGTAAAAGGGCATCAGCATTTTTAAATGAGCTAGAATTTCTCTGTCCCATGTTCTTCCCTTTTAAGTCCCCAGCCCACCACTTTTTTTTTCTTTATTGATTAAGGTATTACATATGTGTCCTTATCTCCCCATTGCCCCCCCGCACCCCTCACTCATGCCCTTACGCCCCTGGTGTCTGTGTCCATTGGTTAGGCTTATATGCATGCATACATGTCCTTTGGTTGATCCAGCCCAATACTTTTAATGTTTAAAATAACTGAATTCAGTCATAGGCTATGCTGTCTTTGTCTTTAATCTTGTCTAGATTAATTGAGGAATTGTTAACTTCCTTTTTCTTAATAAGAAATGGATAAGGATTTCTGCTATATCATGTTTGAAGGATTTTTTTTTTTAAAGTTGTAATTTATTTTAACTCTTGCATTATTTTCTTAATGAAATTTCTTCCCAGGTCTGGATAAATCAGGTTGGCTTAATAAGCAGAAAAAAATAATGATTAAATAACTCATGCAGAGCCTTTTTGTTATAAGTCACTGCCTATATGTTAATTTTTTTTCAGGTATTGCTGGCAATAGGAAGAGATGCTTGCACAAGAAAAATTGGCTTAGAAGCCGTGGGTGTAAAGATAAATGAAAAGTAAGAAAAAAACCTTTATTATATCTTATCGAATACTATTTCAGGTACTTATAATATTGATTATTGCTGGAGTTTTGATTTTTAAAGTTAATTTTTATCATACTTGAAGAGTTCTCTTTTTAAGTTCAGAAAAAGTCTTCCAGCGCCACTCATACATAGTATTTTCTGTTTTTCTTTTTTCTTTTCAAAATCGAATTGAGAGCTATGTTGGCTTGCTTTTTGTTTCTTTAGTGTGTATGTGTACAGAAAAAGATCCATCCATGGTTAATTGTAGGGATATGCTTTAGCTTCACTCAGCCTGTAGATTTGAACCATGTTTAAAGCTACCAGGTTTTAAGGTCACTAGGACTAGGGTGGTCACTACCCTAGTGACAGCTGCAGGTATGAAAACGCATTTCTTCAAGGCTTTTAAAAGTTAAAGTCCTTCCATCTCTCTCCCAGTTTTTTTGAGGGGGAGGCAATCAGAATTTTTGGTGGCCTTGTTTTGACAAGACTTTTAAAAAAAAGGTAAAGTCCTTTGGACTGTACTCCTGCACCAGATAATTGAGACTCTGGTATCTGCTTATGGGAGCAGCATGGGGTATTTCCCAATACCGCCTTTCTTACATCCAAGTATAAAAGCACCTGCTGTGAACGGCAAACTCCCTTGGAGTAATGGCAAGCTCTTCATCCTTGCAGGAATCATATCTATTCAGGAGAAGAGATTTCTAATCTTACTGTGAAGATTATTTTTTCTTCGTTTTTTTCATAATTTGCTAGCCTGTTTCCAATTAGATCTAAGGTTTAGATTTCATATAATGTTAATAGTTATTCTGTATTTACTGTGAGCCATGGACTGTTGTGCTGAATGTTTTATTCACATTCACATTCAATTCTCACAATCCCTTACGGTAGATAGAGATGGTGTTCTTTTTCTTCCTACTATTATCCCCATCATCATTATTCCCATTTATTAGTATATTTGGGGGGGATGAAGCTTAGAGATAGTAAATAGCTCTCCCAAGATCAAAGATGTAATAACTAACAGACCTGGTTATTACAGTTTATAATTCTTATTCTTAACCGCTATGTTCCTGTTTTTCCATTCCAGGATTTCTGTCAAGTTTTCTTATTCCTTTATTTTTCAGAATAGCAGCGAGAATGGTCTCTAAGCTTTTATTTCTTCTGAAATAAAGTTGTTTTGTTTGGTGTAATACATTAGAACATTGTCCCCACCTGGAGTCATAATTTTGGGCTTCTTTGGGATAAAGGGGATTTTGTTCTACTTAAGTATTAATGGTAATTAATGATGATTTTTAACGGGATCAATTTGCAGGAACGGAAAAATACCTGTCACGGATGAAGAGCAGACCAATGTGCCTTACATTTATGCCATTGGCGATATTCTGGAGGGGAAGCCGGAGCTCACCCCCGTAGCCATCCAGGCGGGAAGGTTACTGGCTCAGAGGCTCTACGCTGGCTCCACTGTCAAGGTGAGTGACACTTCACCCACTGAAAGACTGTTTTTAATAATATGCCCAGTTCTTTATTTAGGGATAGTTGGGAAGTTTCCCAGGTCTTAAATAATTTAGTTACTTTGATGATGACATCCTAGATGTGCTTTATTACTGAATTCCAAATGACATTGTTAGGAGTGCTGTACCTTTGTGATTTTATTAAGAAAACTGTCACTCTTGGAATTACAGTAAGAATAAAATGAGCGTGATTGATCAAGTTTCAGCACTGTTATGTTCCATTTACACATAATAGTTGCATTTTATATCAGTTTTATTATTATTAAGGTAAGAAATCTTGTTGTGATACCTATGAAGGGTATGTAAAAGGATTTGGGGATCTAGGGAATAATGCCAGTGTACAGAGCTGCTTAAATTAGTGTTTAGGCTTTATTTCCCTGTCCTTTCTAAAAATTGGTCTTCTGTGCTTAGAATGTTGAATGTGTTCTATTAATAACTTAATGTGGTTTTTAAAAATTGAAGTAGGAAATTGAAATTCTTAGGTATCTTTCATGGGACCAGTTACTGAGTGTATGTCTGCTCGTGGTGATTTTTCTTGGGGGCAGGGAGAGAGAGGGGGTAGTGAGGAGTGACAGCTAATGGGTATAAAAAATTTTTTTCTGGTGATAAAATCTTCTGGATTAGATTGTGGTACTAGTTGCATACTTTGTGACTATACTGAAAACCACTGAATTGTAAACTTTGAAAAGTGAATTTTATGGTACGAGAATTCTATTTCAAATGTTAAAAAAAGTAAGAGAGGGAGAGAGGGAGGGAAGGAAGGAAGGAAGGAAGAAGTGAGGAAGGAAACACTCGCACTGAGAAAGAACACCCAAGTAAGATACAAACTTGGAATGGGGCGGGGAGAAGAGGGCTCCCCAAGGCTGAAAAAAATGTTTTATTTTGCATTCATTTTCTGGAAGGTATTTTTACTGAATATAGAGTTATAGATTTACAGTGTTTCTTTAAATATTTTAATGATTTTTCCATTGTCTTGTGGCTGCAGAGATTCTAAAGAGAAATGCACTATCATTTCTATGTTTGTTCCTCATAAGATTTTCTTTTTGTCATTTTTTTTAGCAGTTTGAATATTGCATGCCTTGCCATGCTTTTCTTTATAACTGTTCTGCTTGTGATGTGTCCAAGATTCATGGATTTATCTGTTTATAGTTTTCACCAAATTTGGAAAATTTTCAGCCAATTATCTTTTTATTATTATTTTTTTAATCCTCACCAGAGGATATTTTTTCCATTGATTTCTACAGAGGGTTGAAGGGAGGAGAGAAACATTGAAGTGAGAGAGACACATTGATCCATTGGTTGCCTCCTTCCTACACATGGTGACTGGGGATGGGGAACCTGCAACTGAGGTATATGCCCTTGACTTGGAATCTAACCCCAGGCCCTTCAGTCCACAGGCTGATGCTCTTAACCACTGAGCAACTGGCCAGGGCTTCAATTATTTTTTTCTGTCTACCCCCTTTTTGTTTTCCCTTAGACTCCAATTAATGAATATTGGTTCACTCGATATTATCCCATGATCTCTGATGCTCTGCTCCTGTGTCCATTTCCTCCCCACCCCGACCCCATCTCAGTGCTCCATTTTCTTAGAAAACCTATTGCCATGTCTTCAAGTTCACTGATTTTTTCTTCTTCTGCACTCTCTTGGGCTATTAATCCCAATCTGTGTGGTTTGCAGTTCAAATAGTCTTTTTCATCTCTATAAGTTTTATTTATTAAAATAAATTTTTCATTTTTCTCCTCAGCAGGTTAATGGTTTCCTTTACCTGGTTGAATAGACAGAACATATTTATAATAGTTCTTTTAATGTCCTCTGCTAATTCCATCATCTTTTGTTTAGTGTTTGTTTCTGTTGCTTGATTTTTCTCGTGGTATTGGTTCACATGTTCCTGCTCTTTTGCATGTCCAGATACTGTTGGGTGGACGCAGATACTGTATATTTTACATTGTTCAGTGCTGGGTTTTGTTGAGTTCTTTTATACAGTGTTAGGATTTGTTCTGACAGTTCGTTAAGTTACATAAGGTGTTTTATCCCTTTTGTAACTTGCTTTTAAGCTTTTTTAGGGTTCGGCTACAGCAACCTTTCACCTAGGGCTTAGTTTCAACCATTAAATTGATGCCTTTGGGCATCAGGTAACCCCATTTCTCTCACATGATGAATTCTTTCTGCTTTGACTATGGGAACAGGAACTATTTCCAGTCCTATTGGAACTCTGGTCATTTTGGAGCCTACTGCTTTCCAGTGGTTCTTTCCTCTGAGGCGTTTACAGATCAGTACTCAGCCCAGATGCCAGGAGTTCTGGTCCAGCTCTACTGGCTTCAGGGCTCTGCCCTGCAGCTGCTGCCAGATGTTTAAACAGTGTTGCTTCATATCTGTCTGGTTTTCTAGTGGGGTAAGGCAGGGAGGTAGGTCTGGTCCCGGGTACACTATTGTGGCTGCCAGTGGAGATCTGTCTTTACTGTTGAATCAGAATTCCAAAGGTTTATGTTCTTCTTAGAGAAAAAGGATTCTATTTATTGTTTGCACAGGGAGACTCATTTTAAAGATTTCACCCTACTGTTTTAGAGAGTGAGAATTCAACTTCTCATATTTTAAACGCAGAATGGCTCACCTCTGTGGGTAAATGTGACTGGGTAGGTTTTCATCAAATAGCATTTACAAACATTTTGCATTTATATAATAACAATTCGCATCAGCATATTAAAGACTGAGATATTTGATAGTTAAGAAACATTTATTTGCTTAATACAGCATTTTACAACAACTTTGACTTCAGAATCCGTTTGTCATCTATGTCTATTATCATAAAATGTACTTTGGAAATAGAATCCTTAACTTTTTTTGTATCTCTAGTTTTCATTTCACTTTAATTGCTGCATATTGTTATATGGAGTATATGTACTACAGAACTACTTCCTTATTTGCACTTTAAAGCTGCTCCATATTGCCACTATTGAAGAGAGCTATAGCATTGCTCAGTTAATGCACGCAGCTGTTTCTGTATGTTATTATAGATGTCTAAGAATAGGTTTATTGGGCCAAAAGGTATAAAATATTTTTATGACTCTTAATATGTATTGCCTAATTAATTTCCCATAGAAATCTATTAGTTTCTGTCACCGATAATGAGACCATCAGCTTTGAGTACACTTGTATTGTTTTTGGCTGCTTTATTAAAGGTAGAGAAAGTATGTCCTTGTTGTTAACATCCATGAATCATTTATTCATGACTAGTCTTGCCAGACATTAAACCTCTGCCAAAACTTCATGACATCAGTTCATGGTTCTCATGTGGTAGGTTTATACCTGGGATTGTTGTGACTTCCCATATTTTTGGTAGAAATTTATTAGTCTGCTTTTCTCCCCTAATTTTGAACCTTTTTGAAGCATACCCTTTTTTGAGTTATAACTTCTCTTGTAACTCTTCTCCATTTTGAAATAGTGTGACTATGAAAATGTTCCAACAACTGTATTTACTCCTTTGGAATATGGTGCTTGTGGTCTTTCTGAAGAAAAAGCTGTGGAAAAATTTGGGGAAGAAAATATTGAGGTAAGTTCTACTCTACTGCTTTCAAAATTAAAAATAACTTCAAGCATACAGAAAAGTAGGAAAATTGTACAAAGAATTTCTGTACAATTATCCAGATCCATATACTATTAATATTTGTTTTTTATGTTGCATAGTCTCTCTTTCTCTATTTCTGTGTATCTGTGTGTATTTTCTTTCCTGAACCATTTGCGAGTAAGTAGAATGCCTCTTTTCTCGTAAACATTTCAGTATATATTTCTGATGAATAAGAGCATTTTCTTATAAAATCACAGGGTAGTTATCACATTTAGGAAATTTAATATTGATACAACTAGAGACCTGGTGCACAAATTCGTGCATGGTGTGGTCCCTAGTCCTGGCCGGCGATCAGGGCCGATCAGGTTCCCCACCTTCCTGCCTTCTCCTCTCCTTCCCTCGCCACCCACATCGGCTTGCCACCCACCCCCGGTTCCCCGTCCCAGCCCAGGGGCCTGGCTCCAATCAGGCAATTGGGGCCTTCAGGCTGGGGGCATCTCCTGCGTTGAGCATCTGTCCCCTGGTGGTCAGTATGCATCATAGCGACCGGTTGTTTGCTAGGCTTTTATATATATAGATGGATACTTTTATGTGATCTACCTTCTGTTTTTCAGTTTAATCAGTTGATACAATAATACTTACTTCTACTTTTTAAAACCAATTTTACTGGTTTCTTTTTATTATTAAAACAACATTGTTGGAAATAGGAAAATACAAAGAAAAAAATTAAAAATTAACTTAATTTCTGCTGTTCTATTAGGTTTTGACTCTCTGCTGTTATCCTCTAATTTACACTAACTTTTATCATATAGTCAAGGAAAATGCACATGAAGTGCACTATTTTCATATACACAAATAATGCTACACAAAGTGACTGCTGCTTTTTAAATCATTTGAGGAAAAGTTTTTAGTTAAACCTTCTAAAAGATCAGAGTAAGTTTCAGGATGTGAATTTATTTTAAATCTCTTACCAATCTTTTTCTTTATTATGTGCATTAGTAATAGCATGTAATATCTTGGTCTAGGAGTAATATTAACTTTTTTCTGATTATAAACATAGTGTATCCTTGTTATAGGAAGCTCAAAAACATAAAAAAGGAAATTTTAATTCATGAAGTAGTAACTGCTGTTAATATTTTGGCATATTCTAGTCTCTAAGTATTTATGTATGTTTTTATATATTGAGTGCATGTATAATTTTGTGTTTGTACAGATGTCTTAATTTTTTATTTTATTTTTAAAAATATATTTTATTGATTTTTTACAGAGAGGAAGGGAGAGGAATAGAGAGTTAAAAACATTGATGAGAGAGAAACATTGATCAGCTGCCTCCTGCACACTCCCTACTGGGGATGTGCCCACAACCAAAATACATGCCTTTGACGGGAATCGAACCTGGGACCCTTGAGTCCACAGGCTGATGCTCTATCCACTGAGCCAAACCGGCTAGGGCTGTATCTTAATTTTTTTAAAAGTGTGATTAAGTTATGTGCAGTATTCTGGCCTACTTTACAATAATATTAGATCATGAGCATTTCCCCCTAAAAACATGATTTTTAAAATGACTTGTGTAATTCTTTTTAGGGATGCTATACAATAATTTGTTGTGCTATTCTTTATAGTGAAAACCTGTTTACAGTTTTTTACTATTAATAGAATGATGAACCTCTTCATTGTTCACTGTCTGTTTCTCTGATTATTTTCTGAGAATAGATTCCTATCAAGAGGTATTTAAATTTTAAGGTTCTTAATATACATTGCATATTTCTTGGCAGACCATCTTTGGATTTTGTTTTATTAGAATTTGCATTTTTTACTATATAAATAATGCATTTGTGTTGAAATTTTGGAACATGTAAAGGAAATAGGAAACAGTTACTCTTTTTTTTGGTAACAGTAATTATTAGCAATTGGGTAAAATTTCTTTAATCATCTTTTTCCTATATAATTGTTATCATACTATGATATACATTCAATTTGGTAACCCATATTTTAAGAAAAATTACATCATTTTTATAATATAAAAGAACACTTATAATGTCTACAAGATCAGTATGTTTTTAAAAGGTAGCTAACCATATATGTTTCGAATTGAGGCTAGCAGAAAATAAATCCCTTTAGTCATCCAGGACTTAAGTTTATGAAACATCAATAAGGATGTCTGTGTCCTTCCATTTGCCTACCTTCCATCCCTCCTCTGCTTCCCTTCGATACTCCTGGTGAATAATGTCAATGGATGGAATGTCTTTGGAAGCATTAAGCAAGAAAACTTGATAATTGCTATAATTGTTGCTGGCACTTGACTTGTTTCATGCCCAAAGTTGTCCTTCCTCTCAGGTAACAAAATAGAGGTTTTTTGTGTGTTTTTTTTTTAAATTCATATGTTAATGCAAGACAGCATGTAATGACATGGCTTCTTTCTCTCATTTGCTGGCTCTTTATTGTTATTATGACTTAACGTTTACTCTTTAACCTGAGTTGTAATTAAGGGATGAGCTTATAGCAAAAGGATCTGACAACAGGACTTTTAAAGTCATTTACTTTCTCACCAGTTCCTATTTATTTCATGAATTTTTTGGGAGGTGTTTTGTATGTGTTTTCTTAACTTTGATTTTTCAATTGCAGTTGACATTCAATCTTATTTTATATTAGTTTCAGATGTACAGCATAGTGGTTAGTTATCCTATATAATAAAAGCCTAATATGCTAAGTGTCTGGTCTTCTGGTCAGCTATTCAACCAATCAAAGCATACTATGCTAATAATATGCTAAGGCCGCTCAACTGCTTGCTATGATGTGCACTGACCACCTGGGGGCAGAAAGTTGACCACTCGACCAGTTGCTATGAGGTGCACTGACCACCAGTAGGGAGACGCTCCAACTGATAGGTGAGCTTGCTGCTGGAGTCCAGCTGATCAGGACTGAGTGAGATGGGCTGGACGTGCCCTGGAGCCCTCCCGCAGTCCCTCCCATGGCTGGCCAACCTCCCATGTCTCTCTTTGGCCCCGATCATGCACCAGTGGGGTCCCTTGGCCTGGCCTGCACCCTCTCGCAATCCGGGACCCCTTGGGGGATGTCGGAGAGCAGGTTTGGGCCCGATCCTACAGGCCTGGCTGAGAGTTATAAAGTGATTCCCCCCTCCCCCCCCGAATCAGTCTAGTACCCACCTAGCACCATGCATAGTTATTAGAATATTATTGACTATATTTTCTTTGCTGAACTTTGACATCTCTGACTATTTTGTAACTACCAATCTGTATTTCTCAATCCCTTCACTTTTTTTACCCAGTCCTCTAACCCTCCTCCCCTCTGGAAACCATCAGTTAGTTCTCTGAGTCTGTGAGTCTGTGTCTGTATGAATTCTATTGCTTAGTGAAAGTCTAAATACTAAAGAGCCTCCATTGTCTTTGTATCCAAGCCAGTGTTTGACAAACATGCTTCCTAAGATGATGAGTCTAATTGTGCTTATATCTTCTTAGGTTTACCATAGTTACTTTTGGCCATTGGAATGGACGGTTCCATCAAGAGATAGCAACAAATGCTATGCAAAAATAGTCTGTAATACGAAAGACAATGTAAGTACAATTCTCATTTAATCCTTTCAGCTAACTTCATTTTGTTTTTAATATGTAGCTATATTTTGATCACATGTTACACACTGCACTTCTTTCCTGTTTTACTTGTCGGTCTCCCCAGCTGCATAGACCTCTGAGAGCAAGGACCATGGTGACACAGTGCTCTCCCCCCAGCTTCACCGGCACAGAGCCCTACACATAGGAGGCAGGCAGCTAAACTTGCTGAGTGAAGGAGCCATAGGGACAACTTGAGAACTCTTTGTGTTTGTGTGTATGAAAGGAAACCAATTAAGTCATCAATGACCTAAAAATGGCAAAAAGAAAAGAACAGGAGTACTGCAAGTTTATGTCCTAAGCAGCTGTCCCGAATGAGAAAGCGGTAATGGGAAGACATCTTAGTTGGGTTCTGATTTAAGGTTTCATTATCATCCGATTTAAGGCTACAGGTGTCAGTTGATAATGAAGGCCTAGGGCAAATTCTTTGACCTCACAGTTTGTCTCCATACGTACAAAGTGAGTGAATAGTCATTAGTTTTCAAACTTTTCTGACTGCTCCCCCCATTTTATATTGTAACCCAGGACACGTATATGTTGTGCACATGCTCTATAAGTATTGTGAATTAAATCTTACGAGAACTGGTATTTTTAACTTAGCTAGGCTCTTACTTTAAGAAAAAATACAAATGATGCTAAAGAAACCATATATTAAAAGCCTAATAAACTCATAATTTTCTTATGTGGGATTGAATATAATTAAGCTATATATCCTGTTGAGAAGTTACTGCTCTCGACAGTAGCACAGTAGCAGATTGCTTTTTGCAGAACCCAGGGTTCTAGGAAAACCTGGATCCTGTGCAAAAAGACATCATCATAGATACATTTAATAAGTGAATATACTAGGATAATCATAACAAACTCCACACAGTTGGCATCAAAAACAATTTTAGGTACAGTTTTTTCTTTTCAGACAAGTTTAATGAAAAGGTTATTTGTGTGAACATACATTAGATAGAAGTTAAGTAAATGTGCCAGGGCATGTAGTAGCTAATGGAAGGGCTGGAATTCAGTCCCAGGCAAGGTCGATTCCATGTTATTAACCATAATCCCATGCCTTTTGTAGTCTTTTGTAATCCTTGATCCTGTACCCCTCATTTCTTCCCTACCCCACAGGCAGCAGTCTTGAAGTTGGAGTGTCTCACCTGTTCATATTTTTATGTTTGCCACCTCTGATGAATCTGTAAATGTTATAGATTGTGGTTTGATTTGGTGGTATCCTTAGCTAATTAGAGCCTGCAACTTGTTTTTAATCTCAGTTTTTGATTTCTATCCATGTTAACTACATTATTTCTAGTGTATTTTAAGACCTAGTGTATTTTGTGCTTTGTTTATCCATATGCTGAACCCCTGATTGTCAGGATGAATGATGTAAGTCCAACATGGAATATATTACAGTACTTTGGCAACAGAATGACTTCTTGATAGCTTTCCATAGAGTGATTGAGCCTTAGGCTGAGCACCCCGCAGCCTGAGTTGCCTCGTCGGTTATGAGGAGATTGGACTAGACAGTCTGTCTCAGTCAGAGTTGGCTCTCAAAGTCTGAACAATGGAGTGAATCAAATTTCTCTCCTCTTGGCCGAGTTTCTCCTGAGTTTGGGATAAAGAATCTATCCAACCTAATTCCTACACAGTTATTTCAGAGTTGCCAAACATTTTTCTATTTTTCAAAAATGCTATCTATCCCCAAAACCTGAGTTAAAATGATTTTAACTTGAATGAGTGCTCTGAAATGTTTCAGCTGTCACAGATAGGTTATCTGGGGCTTTGAGACAGTCCATAGAGGAGATGAGGACACAACTGCCCTTTGAAAACATTTTCCAGAACATTGTGAGCTTTTGGAATTGCAGGCAGTTCTGCTTTCAGTGTTTTCCCTCGTCATTTGTTGCTAGTGCTCTTCTCTTCCTTCTTGCTTGATGTGACCCCACCCTCTATATGGGCCCGTGTTGGAGTTACCTTCAGCCTAAACAGCTTTTAGCAGCAAGCATTAATATGAGCCTATGGCCACTTCTGAATGGGGTTTTTAGGATGGACTGGGAAAATACTTCAGGCTGCTAAGGGGTGGGTGGGAAATCAGCGTAATTGTATTACTTTGTTTTATATTTTAGGAACGTGTTGTGGGCTTCCACATACTGGGTCCAAACGCCGGAGAAGTTACACAAGGCTTTGCAGCCGCGCTCAAGTGTGGACTGACCAAGCAGCAGCTGGACAGCACCATTGGGATCCACCCCGTCTGCGCAGAGGTGGGTCACCTGCACTTTCATGGCTCTGCCTAAATGCACACACAATCTGGCTTACAAGTGGCACATCTAGCATTCTGGAGCTAGTGTTCTTCCTGCTGTATCAAGCTGCTTCTATACCTCCTTGCAGCTTGTGAATGAGTGAGAATGCCTCAAAAAAAGACCTTGTCTCTAGAACCCACATTTTCCTCTTTCAGACGGTTCTTGTTCCTGGTGTGAACTGCCATGCTATTAATTGGTAAAAGCCATAGAGTGATTTATAGAGATGTGCCTTAAATCTTCTATTTGTCATGTCTTCTAAATTGTTTTTATGGCAGTCAGTTAATAATGCCATTCATACCCAGAAACAGCTTAAATACTTGGTATCTCGATGCACCTCGAGGATAAATAATAATGGTTGCCTCTTTAGCTTTGGATATTAGAGAATGAGATTTGAAAATGATGCTTTTAAAAGATCAGGCACATGATAATAGCATTGGAAATTGACCATTCTGGGCCTGGGTGTTAATTTTCTTCATGTTTGTCAGTGATTATTGTGGAGTTGAATGTTGTGATGCTTACTGTTAACTGAAAATTGTAAACCCAAAATGTGTCTATGTTGAAGAAGTTGGTGAAGATTGGGAACAGGTATCTCATACCAGCTTAGGTATGGAATTGAGATTATAACTGTTATCTGGCCACCAGTCAGTGGTTTCCATAGTGTACGTTGTGCTTGTGCATACGCGCTCACATGCACACACACTCACTCCTGCCAGATTTCGTTCAGCAGCCTGCTAACTGGTGGTCTCTGTTCTTCATTGCCCTTGTACAACTGAACTCGTTACTGAGTATGAAATGTCAACTTCAAGGCCTGGGAAAATATTTTCATTCTTTTGCTTTGCCATGTTAGGGATAGTGTCCTCTACCTTATTATGCACCTGGCTGGGATAGTAGCATGAAAGTTTAACATGTTCAGTGATTAGAGCATTATTCATAGAGAACTACTGTCTTATGAACTCAACCTAAGCTTCAAAAACATAATGTGAAAATTGTCTAGATTAATGCTCTTAAACAATGCGCTGTGATAATATATTTTATTCAGTGTAATGAGTAAGACTTTCACGGTCTGCCTAGGGGAGGAGCCAATTAACTTTTTCCCCCCTAACACATAACTTTTAGCGAGTATGTTAATGTCTTAGGGCTGCCTTAACAAAGTAGCACAAACTGGGTATTAAAACAAAGGTATTCTCTCAGCTCTGGAAGCTAGAAGTCTGCCGTCACGGTGTCAGCAGGGCCACGCTCCCTAGACGCTCTAGGGAAGAATCCTCTTGCTCTTCCCATGGTGTCTGGCAGTCCGTGGTGTCCCTTTACTTATAGGTGCATGACTCCAGTTTCCGCCTCTGCCTTCACGTGGCCTTATCTCCTATGTGTCTGTGTCCAGATTTCCTTTTATCGTAGGGGCATTAGTCATTGGGTTAGAGCCCACTCTAATCCGCCATGACCTCATCTTAACTTGATTACAAAGGCCCCATTTCCAAATAAGGTCACATTTACAGTTGCTGGGGCCTCGGACTTGAACATATCCTTCTGGGGGGCTTAATTCAACTCACAACAATGAGTATATTTAAATTCTTGATGCCAGTCCAAGAGGCTTAAAAGCTACCACAATCATCTCCAATGTGGATGAAAAGATAACTTCCCAGTTTACATCTGTGTGTCTAATATTTTAATCTGAATTCAGCTCTCACTGGGCTGGTTAGAAGGAAGACCG